ATTTTTACTTATATTGTTTTTTTTATAATCTTTAATTTTGAAAATATTAAATTTTAGAACCTATTTAAAATTTTATAATATTTTAAAACATAATAAATAACTCACCAGAACTTTTTTCTTTCTTTATTTTAGAGATCTTAAAAGTCTTAATAAAACTTATCTAATGAAATTACGATAGAGACTAATATCCTCCTTGTGCTGTTTGAGTCTAAGTCCTTTACAACAAATATAAACTTAGGATAGAAAAGACTCTAATTTCAGTAATATTTATCAAGCCTCTCATTTTTTTAAGGACTTAATCTCTATCTGCCAAATTTTAATCAAGGTTAAGTTAAAATTAGAGGATGACTTAACTATCAAATTCTGGTATGATAATTGGTTTCCCTAATTTTTTATTTTAGTTTAAGTTTTCTAAGTTTCTTGTACCTAAATTTAACTTTAACCTTTCCGTAAGTTTCTCTTCTTCTAATGACAATTAGGATTAAAAAAATATACAATTTACTCCTTGAACATATTTGTCAATCCATAACTCTTATAGAGCCTTCAATTAGATCTAGTATCTCTAACTTAGTCTACTAGAATAGATCTAGTAATGAAATTTTTATCACCAAATCTCCTTATAATTTGTTCTATAGACCTAATCACATCTAAGTATAATCAAGAGACTTTTAGGTTGATTTGGAGTTGAGATGATCCCACAAAGATAACCTTTTTCTTTTGGATTGTCGCCCATAAGAGATTTATCACTGATGAGAAGAGGTGTAAGCAAAATATGACTAATTTTTCATCTCGCCTAAGATGTGAGGACGGTCATGAGACTATAATACACATTCTTAGATACTATTTTTATGCCAAGTTATTTTGGGATCACTTTGTCTTCCCTCATCAATTGGTGACTTTTTTTTAGTAAAGAAACCTTAGAGTGGTTAAGTTTTAACTTATCTAATCAAAATTGCAGCCTATTATCTTATTGGCATAATATTTTTAGAATTATAATTTAGAACTTACGGGAAGATAGGAATACTTTTGCTCAAAATGTATCTATTCAGCCTAATTGTCTTATTCATAGAATTTGTTGTAATTTTAACTACATATTTTTCTGTTGGAAAAACACCTTTAATTATATGAAACAACTGATTTATGATCAGAATTTGTTTGAATAGATGTTACCTCTCCCTAGTCAAGTGAAGTTAAGCGTGAATGGAGTTGTTTTCAGGTTGTATGGAGAATCTGCCTATGGAGGGCTAATTCGATATAGCAGAGATTGACTATTAGTTAAATTCAGAAAGAAATTTAGTCCTTACTCCTCGATAGAAATTGAACTTTGGAACATTTATAATGAGATTCAGCTAATTCTGAAGCATGATTTCCAATGAGTTTGGATTAAAAACAATTACAAACAAGCTATCTATCTAGTCTTTAATGTTTAACCCTGTTCTCATTCGCTATTTGAGGTAATTCAAGAAATTATAAGTCTTCTAAACTGTATAAAGTGTATTAGAATGTGACACATTTGTTGAGAGACTATTCATTGTGCCGATAGTTTTTGAAGAGGGCCATCCACTTTACTTCCATTTTTTGGTCTAGACTCTATGGACATAGGAACTTTTAGACACCTTGTATAATTTTTTTTTTTATCTTTTATATATAGCAAAAAAATAATGATAATTAAAGATGTGAATTTTAACTAACATCAATAAAATGAATTAGATTGTTATTAATTATGAGAAAATGAGTCATAATAAGATGAGAGATATTTTCAAAAGAATAAAATTTCTTTACTTTCTAACATTATCAATTGAATAGTTAATATTTTTAAAATTTTGTTTGTAACAAGAAAATATTAATAAAAGAATGTTTTGGATCGGGCTATAGCAAGGCCTTAATAGCTTTACCTACGGCAGACCTTGATGCAATTTTATTATTTTGAACACAAATGTGATTCTCCTTGTTGTCCAAATAAGCTATTATTTGGTTTGTTTAAAATTTAACTATGCAGTGAATAAAGTCTATTTGTGGAAAAGTAAAGACAGGTTTGTTTCAATTTTTAAAAGAGTTTTCTCTTTTTAAAAATAATATTTTTTATTTTTAAAAAAAATATTTTTAAAAGTTAAAACAAACATATTCTAAAAATTTTAAACTATTTTGTGGATAAAATATTGTTATAAGTGCACGACTCCAAACATATTTATACTAACAGTTCAAATAATTTTACGTTATCATCCAAACAAAGTCATTCTTTTTTCTTATTACAATACATTTTTCTTGAACACAAATTAAGCTCAAATTTTTAAAAATAAATTCTTTTAACTCCATTTTTAAAAATTAATTCAAACAAAGTATGAAACAAACCGTTAATATTAAAAGGCAGACACTATAACAAATTAATTTATATTGATTAAGAATTTTCAATGGTCTCAATTCATGTTTTCGATAAAAGAACATTTGTGCCTTAAAAGCATGTTTTTAATATAAAATAAAGTAAAATGATTTTCTTGTTGTGCAAAAATCGTAAATTTTAAATTTCATTATGAGTATAATAATTGCAAAATAAATAAAAATTATAATTATTAAATAAGATTAATTTTAAATGAGATGCAAAATTTTTAAAACATTTATATGTTTACGCTTTAAATGTGATTTTATTTTACTACATAAATAAAAAGTTATTTTAAACTTACTTCTATAAACTCTTAAATAAAAATTAAATTCTTTTAAGTAAATATTTTGTGTTAGCTAATGTGAAGCGTCACCCCCTAATTTGTTCATCTTAAATGTCTAATTATTTTTTATTTTCTATAAACAAATAGTTTGTTATATTTTTCATTATTAATTTTTAATAAAAATCATAAATTACAAGTCATTTTTATACAAAATATAATCAATATTCATTTTTTAAGTCATAGCCCGTATTGACTTCAGTGAACAAATAAAAATGAATGTAAATCGCATACTCTCTAATACAATATTTTTAACACATTTTTATTTATTTGTTAAACTTTATTAAAAATTATAAAATAAAATTTATATAAATTTTAAAATTTTACTTAATAGTTGGAAATGTATTAAAAAAAGTATATAATTTTTAATAAATTTTAAAAGTATATTTACAAAATTATGCTAATGAGATATTAGGTTGGAATCCAACATCCTTAATGAGCAGGGATTGAATCCTTACGTTTTTAAAGTTAATTTTCGTGAATCTGTGTCTACTCTAAAACCCGAAACAGTACGTCTCCATTATATTAAACCAAAGTCTTCATAATAATGTTCTGGTTTACCAATTTTCTTAAGAAAACACGACAACTTTTTTACTTCAAATGTATATATCATTCCACGTAACAGTCCAATTATTATTTTATTCAAAAACAACATTCTCTCTATAAAGTTGGTCCAAAATTTGATCTATTCAAAAGGACACCTTGAAATGCATGAAATATGCGTTAAGCATAGTCCAAAGTCCAATCAAAACTATATTCTGACTATGATTATTAAACGTTTATGTAAAATTCTGAACACGCTTATAGCCATGAAAATGCCCCAGCGTAATCAAAACTATATATTTTTTTAATGTTTGGTTAATATATCTTTTTATTTCTTTTTTTAATTATAATAATCATCATATCTATCATTTGTCTATGTTTTCTTCTTATCCCCTTCTCACATGAATATACAGAGGCTATTATTAAAGTATTGCTCGTACCAAATACTATAAATTTTTTTATTTGACTCATCCACATGAATTCGTGCCCCTCTCAAAGTTATAAATAGGAACAACGATATTACCAATAAAATAAAATATATGATTCGGTATATTTCAATATTTAAAATTCAGTTTTTTTTAAAATGTTTAATTTATTTTTATTTACAATAAATTTATTTTAATAAAAATTTATTATTTTAAATATTTAACTTTAATTATTCTTAAAAATTGAGGTTAATTAACAAAATCTTAAAATAAAATATGTTCGAGTCGTTACATATTCTTGCCACTTGTGTCAACTAACCACTGCTGGCGTGTAGGGTTTACCCAAATGATAAATTCAATGACCAATGACCGAGCATGCTTGTATCTTATATTTAAGAAAAGATAAGGTTAATATTAAATTTTGAAATTAATTTTATATACTTAAAAGTGATAAAAATTTTATTGGTGTTATTAATGAACATTTTAAGAGTATTGATTATGAAATAATTAATAGTTTTATTAAAAAAGTGTGTTTGAATATATTAAAAATTATAAATGAGTGTATTATTATATTTTTTTAATAAGAATATTTTTTATTCCTTAATTAATATTTTACAATTTCTATTAAAAAATGTATTTTTATATCATATATTTAAAATTCCAAAAATTGTTATTAAAAAATTCGTTCATTTACTAGTCGCTTAATCAGGATTTGGACGAAAAAGTTGTCCTATTCAGAGAACAGTTTGAAAACAAATAAAGATAATCTATACAGTTTACGTATGTATTTATTTATTTGTTTCCTATTCGGATGTTTTTATTTTTAATAATTATATTTTTATATGTTTTACTCACTTAATAAATAAAATATTAAATATTTTTTTCAATGAAAATACATTTGACTATATATTAAATACTTTTAGAAAAAAATAACTATTATTACCTGATAATGACTAAAATCTTGATATCTCAAATATTAAATACAAGAGTGGTTGAAAATAAAATTGACAAACATATTGTACATTATATAAATTTTTGAAATGCAAAAATAAAAAAATCCCAGTTAATATTGTTTTAAACTAATTCAAATCAGTAACAATTTTTAAAGATTAAATTGATAAATAATTACCTCTTTGAAGATTATTACATATTAAAAATTTAAAAAATAATAAAATAAATAAAATATTTTATGACAGCAATTTTAAAAACCACGTAATAATAATTTAAAAAAAAAACAGTCAAATAACATATTAGCAACTGAATTAAATATTTATTCTGAAAGATATTGGTTTGTACTTTGAGTGGATAGTTGAGAAAAAGTTAACATCAAATCCATTGAGAATTTAGAATAAACTCGAAGTTGAAAACTAAGTGCTGCTTTGTCTTTATCTCTAAACTAAGCTTCAAACTCAAATGCTGCTTTGTACCCCTAACTTTTTATCCACCTCTAACCTTTATCATCCCTCAACCTTTTATTGTCTCTCCTATCTTTCATCAATTTATTCACCACAACACCAAGAAATAATATTTAACCCAAAACGACATAAGAATTCAGTAAACTCCAAATCATTTTTTAGAAAAGAAAAAGACCTTTTTTTTTCTTTGACGAAAGAAAGAAAAAATAGAAGAAAACAAAAATAAAAGTAAAACAAGGATGTTGTGTTTGTGTATTCCATGTCAACCAGGGGGAGGAGGATAGCCACTGGTATCTGACCACGTCGAAGGTGGAAACTCCGACCCGCCACTACCGTCTCCACCGCCGTGAGAGGAGTCTCCCGGCGGCCGGAAAAACCCCATTTGCTGACTAGAAAACAGAGGAAACGAAGCAGAGGAGGGTGAAAATGCAGTTTGGGACGAAGACGACGACAAAAAGAGCGACGGCGATAACAACGAAGAGGAAGACTGAATCTGCGCCATTTGCGAATCATAGAACCACTGCTCGAGTCCATGGAAGTCCCCTGTGCCTCTCAGAAGCTGAGAGTATTCCCAGTAATCTCTCATAAAATCGGATGATCCCTGAAACTGCGAGCCCTGCATCACCGCCGGCGAAAAATGGGTCGCCGGGGAAGCAGAAACGGCGATCGTACTGGGCGGAAAATCGGGTCGAACTGCAGCAACGTTTTCAGGGAAGTTGAGTTTGGCTCTGTTACCTCTGAACCTCAATGCAGCTTCATCGTAAGCTCTTGCTGCAGCTTCTGCAGTGTCGAACGTTCCAAGCCACACTCTCGCTGCTTTGTGAGGATCGCGAATTTCCGCGGCCCATTTCCCCCACGGTCTCTGCCTCACCCCTCTGTATCTCCTCCTCCTCTCACCGCTCTCTTCATACGACGCCGTTTCACTCCCTTGCGTTGTAGTGGCAACAGTTGTAGCTTCTTCTGTCACTATTTGAAATAAAAGACAAATAAGGTTTTGTATCCTTACAACACTGTTCTATAGGCAATGCAATATTAATGAAAATATAATAAAATTAAGGTGGTCTATGAGTGGGAAAAGAGAAATTGATAAATTAAAGGCTTGGTTGATGGTTGATTCTGATTAATTATTAATGCTACTATAATAACTGTTGGTTTATATATAAAAACAAGAGTATGTGTGTGGTTATGTGGAGAGAATGTTGGGGGAAAAGCAATTGCACCTGATGATGAAGGTAGTGAGAAGTGAGGAGTGGCGGTTCCATAGAGTGGAATTAATTGCTGAGAAGAAACAGTGTGATCTTCACGCGCTCTTTTGTGTCCAACCCCCAAAAGAGGGGCAGAAGAAGAAGAAGAAGACAAACGAGGAGAAGAGACATGCATAAAACCTGACATCATAGGATAACCACTTCCGGGGACCCACTCGGTGTTAATCTGCCCTGAGCCTGAGCCTGAGCCTGAGCCTGAGCCTGACACCACTTGGCTCGGAACCGAAACCATACTCCCTGTCCCTCCCATTGATGGACCTGAGCTTCCACCTTCTTGTCCAAAAGGGTCTTCCACTTCCTCATCGCCGCTCGTGAACCTCACGAACTTGCCCGAACCTGAACCGGAACCCGAACCTCCTTGGTGCGCCACCGTTAGCAAGCACATGTAACCTTAAAGCTGGTTTGTGTGGGGTTGCTTATACTCTTTCCCCAAACTAAGATCGATCCACTTGATTCCTTCTGAGAAAGAAACGCGATTATATATATAAGATGAATAAGAGAAATCGAACATCATGAAAAGCTATCTAGCCCCCACACCAACAGTTACCTTGTTGCGCCTCTATTACTCTAGCTTCCACCATGCATACACATAATTAACCACACATACACCACTACCACTACCTTTCTGCTTCAATTCTTTTTTATTATTAATATTCTAGGTTCAGAATTTCTCTTTTCCTTTTTGATTCCTCAAAAATAAATAATCAACATGAAAATTAAAACTGTACCAATAAATAAATAATTATCCGGTTGCCGCCTCTGTGATGATTTTGGCATGTGGAGTTCACACCAAAAGAGGTTTTGACCGAAAATTAACCAAGGATGCGAAATGGAACTAACTAGTTGCACTCTCTGCAAATTCTTTGCATTGTCGGTTTCCCTTTAGAGATATCGAGAAAGAAGGAAACAGTGATGATCTTTGAATTGAATTCTATACACCTAAGCGGAGAAAACCCCCAAAAAACCAAAAAACAAAAATAAACATTTACATATATATACAAACATACGCATTATTATTGAGTGGGTTTAATTATTTTGGGCTCCCAGATTTGTGATTAGCCCATAGTTAACCAATGGAGAGTCAGGTTGAAAAGGAAAGCACGGAATAAGCTGAGGATTAAGTCACAACAAGGCTTAAATAAGGTAAATAAAAGATAAGGCTTAAGCTGTAAATTAACTATTGTGGATTAGGTTGGGAATCACTGCTCAAGTGTTGGTGTTCATTGATATATATATAAACCAAATAATTGTTTGAAAATTAAATTTGTCTAATTATATTTAAGATTAGTTAATGTTGGGAACGGAAAACTTGTTGAAGGAATATGTTTGTATGGTCAAAGCACGGCTCTGGGGGAACTAAGAAAGCAATTCCATGCATGACTATAGTACTGTGTGTTAAGTTTAAACAGGATAATATAGCATTTGACCTACTAACTACACTATAGGTGCTTGGAATATCAAGGAGGAAAGGTAGGGTAAGGGTTAAATCCATACAAGCTGAGTTAGGCATGAACTCAACGACCCCATTGCTCAACTTTAACACAAGATCTGTGAGAGGTAATGTATGTTGCTCATAATCCAACACAAGAATTAGATACTGTAATTACATGAAGACAAATTGTATTTGTATATAAACTCTGTCCAAAATATTATATAATAAATAGAGATAAGAATGAAAGTATTAGAGTAATAGCTATACATGTGTTTCAAGATTTTAAACTAAATATGATGTTTAAAATGTATAGTTAATGTGATGGAAATTAAGAGATGGAGAATTTATTTTTACAGGGTATTATCTAAAATTATTATATAAATAAAATAGCATTTAGAAAAGTGTATAAAATAAATTATTTAATTAATAACAAAAGTTATACGGATGTAAAATTAGATGTACGTAAATAATGTGTGGATTATATTGTTTTAGAGTGTTTGTTTGGAATTGGATGGATCGGTGGGGCTTGTCCTTATAATGAACCCATCATTGAAAAAGAAAAAGACAATCCCACGTTTTCACCCTATTCCCCACACAAGAAATTAATATCATAATAATTTTTCATAAAATATTAAATTAACCGAGCCAATTGCTACTTTAAATTTTTTTTAGTAAACATATTGATTTTATAAAAATAAAATTTTAAATACTTAATTGTATTATTTTATTTTAATAAATAATATATTTAAAAAATAAATAAATTACAGAAATTTAAATAATATACTTATGAATATTTAAATTACATAAAATTTAATATACATAATTTAAAAAAATAATACAATATAATTTAATAATTAAGTTGATCAATAATATATTTTATAAAAATTATTAAATAATGTAAGCATATTTAATATTTAATGTTAGATTTTAAATATAGATAATAATAATATGTTTAAATATATTTTTAATTTTACTCTATCTAAATTTGATTTTTATTATATACTTAAAAACACATCGTTTATGATTTTTTAAAATAAAAATGATATTTTCAATTACAGAAAATATAATAAACCAAAATAATAAAATCTCGATTGGAAGCCGTAGAAACATTTGTTGGAAAACGAAAAGTTCATCTCCCTTTACATTGCTGTCCATATTTATGGTGGATGAAATCTCTACCAAATATTATTTATTAGGAAAATCAGCGATATAGATTTCACACATACGCTTCAGAAATGAAGAATGTCATATGATAAAAAATTCTATATTTATATAAATGTTAATAATATAATGTTTATTAACGTCAACTTAAAGTCTCTATTCGATGGTGAGAAGAAAATTATTGAATCAGTAATTTTGAGTTTAAAAAAATTATGGAAATGAGACTGGACATAATTGTTTTAATATTCATCGCATCTCATATTTATTATATAAATTTTGAATTTAATTATTTAATTTTATAAATATTTTATTCAAATTCGCGTATTCGTCACCCTTTTCAATCTTCCCTACTGAGGTCAATATTTTCAATTCTAATATCTTGAAGCGGATTCCCACTAACATCTATTTGATATAAATTTTAAAGATTTATGAGATCAAATCCTTGTTATTTCTTAGAAGTTCAAGTTATTATCGAGGTTATTATTTCCTTTTTGTTTCTCAGAGTTATGTCGAGAACTTAAGAGAAGCAATATGATAATTGCTAATGGATTTAACATGCATTATTTTAGCTAACTATTACACAAATGCCATTACCTAATAAAATCAGGGAGTCAAGGAAAAGATGGCAGGCACCATGAGTTATGCTTCGCTACCTTTATTTTCGTGGTGGGAATTCATTTTATGATTTTCATGGGGTAAACAAATATTCTTGTATTCTTGTAATTGTTTAAGAATTTAAAATAAAATTTTAAAATATTAACAACCCACGTATCAATTACATGTGTTTAATTCAATTAGAAACGAGTTGTTATTTTTGTAATTGATTAAATTGATACTAACAAAAAAAATTATTAATCACTCAAACTTATTATAATTTATCTTTTTTTTGTTTTTCTTTTTCTATTCTTACATTTTTATCCAGCTAGTCTCCGATCATACTTCAATTTTGAATTCAGTTTTTAAATCTACTAAATGTGTTAATTTTACTAATTTTTCACTTATCTACAAGCTTATTTATCATTTTTTTTTGTTAGAAATATGAAAGATAATGATTATGTAGAAGGAGAGAGAAAACAATAAGAAAAGAAAAATTATTACATTAAAATAAAAAAATTTATTCTGAAAATATATGAAAATTTCAAACTTCTATTATTTTATTTTTCAACTTTCAAGATATTTTTTTTGTCTGGAATGTTAGTCCCCCACTCCTCTTCTTCCCCATTTTTCTCATGATTTTCTATTTTTTATTTTTTAATATATTTTTATGTCTCTGTACTATTGAGTACAATGTATTTTTGTGTTTCTTTGAACTTACCATAAAAAAAATAAGATAAATATAATAAAAAATTATAACTAATAAAATTCAACTGATTCATTACACTTACCATAAAAAAATTATAATTTATCTTTTTTTTTGTTTTTCTTTTTCTATTCTTACATTTTTATCTAACTAGTCTCCGATCACACTTCAATTTTGAACTCAATTTTTAAATTTACTAAACGTGTTAACTTTACTAATTTTTCACTTATCTACAAGCTTATTTATCATTTTTCACTTAAATCTACTTTAAAATTATCTTTTTGTAGGTGTTTGAAAAGTATTCATTTATTTTTTTTGTTAAAAATATGAAAGATAATGATTACGTATAAGGAGAGAAAAAACAATAAGAGAAGAAAAATTATTACATTAAAATAAAAAAATTTATTTTGAAAATATATAAAAATTTCAAGCTTCCATTATTTTATTTTCCAACCTTTAAAATATTTTTTTTGTCTGTAACATTAGTCGCCCACTCCTCTTCTTTCCTATTCTTTCTCATATTTTTTTTATTTTTTAATATATTTTTATGTCTCTGTGTTACTTGAATACGATGTATTTTTTTGTTTCTTTAAACTTACCACAAAAAAAGAAGAAGAAGCTAAATATGATAACAAAATATAACTAATAAAATTCAACTGATTCATTATACTCAAACAAAAAGTTTGAGTTATTTTATAATTGAAATTGACTCAAAATTTAAGATAATCAATTTATTTTAATTTTAAACTTTGCTAACTGAGTCTAATAAAATTTGATTGTTGTTCATCACTACTAATAAAGACTTATATTTAAATTTTTTTAAAAGAAAAAATCATATTTATAGGATGTTATATGTGATATTTTATTTTTATTCATTGAACTAACTTTTATATTATAAAATTTGAAATCACCTATTAATTTGCAAATGATATCGAAATTAAAGATGCATACATCTGGTCTGACCTAACCCTTGAAGCATTTTCGAAATATGTGGAGTCAGGAACCTGTTTGACAGAGTGGTAGCCAAACAAACTTTTCCAAATTGAGGGATGCAAAATGGCTGGTATAACCACCCAAACACTCTTTCGTCGCTCACTTTTCTTTTATGTACGGTTATAGACTAATAACTGCACCACTCACTCTAGCACCCACTGTGCGACACGTGCACCCTCTGCTTCTTCTTTCACTTTCATCGCCACAGACCATCGTGCGGGTGCATTTCATTGCAATCTATATCATCGATAAATCATTCATTATGCTTAGCTTTTAAGTTTTTCTCATTTTTTATTTTTATTTTTATGTTCCGTTCTGATTTAAGCACGTGTTTTATTTTCCTTTCTTCTAGTAGCACTTCAAAAAGCACACGAAAGCATCATTGCTGGTTTTCAATTTCTTATAACTTTATTAGGAAAATTCTTCTAAGTTGTTGGAACTGGATACTCTGTTTTTATGGCACTCAATAAACATTTTAATTCAAACGCTTAAAATATGACTAAATAAACATTATAAATGAGTTTGCTTTTATAGATTTTTTTTAAAAATAATATATAAAAGATTATAAGTTATTTTATATGTCCAAATAAATTATGGGTAAAGTCTTTCAAACTACATAGCAGTTTATAAATAAATAAGTTATTTTTTTTTAAGTGGCAGGAGTGGTACATTATTTTAAAGTAAGAAAAGCTGTGAAACTCAAAAAATATTCAGTTATTTTTTTCTACAAAATTTTCTAAGAAGTGAGGGTCTTCATTTTAAAATAAGAAAAACTATTAAACTAAAAAAATTGCTTATTAAAAACGTTTATTGAGAACTTAAATTTATCTTACTTAAAAAAATGAATAAAAAATCAAATTTATCTTCTCAGAAGTCACCTAACAGCCCCTTCGATTGAGATTGCATTTTTGTTTTGTTGATGAATTTTTTATTTTATTGTATAAAAAATATTAAACATTTTACGTTGAAACAAGGAAAAAGTAGTGATAACCATTTGGTACAAGGGTGTTGTCAATTGGCCAAAATCACCAAATTCATTCAATATTTCAAGGGTCCATTCGTTTCTTTTTGACCCAGTC